GTCTGTAGGTTCGCCCTGACAAACCTTTTGTGGTGGGCTGCGGCATTCATAGGCGTTCATATTTTATATGCTTGCCTCACTATGGATCAGTTTTCGAAAAGTTAAAATTCTCTATTTTAATATTATTATACTTTTGAGTAAGTCTTCTTAAGTCAAGTCATGGATTTTTCTTAATATTTTTAAAGAATCTTTAAAAAGTGTTAATTGTTGTTTTTATGAGTTTATTGTTGTGTTTTGGATGCTAGTTATTCTTACTCTATAATCATGTGGTAATATATTTTACTTTGTTCAATATACATGTTCGTTGTGTTTTGTATTGTAATCATGTTTTAACTGGTAATCCTGTCTATGTATCTTATCATGTTTATCTTGTCTATATTATGAAGTGGTTGTTTGACATGTATATATGTTGTATTATTTATATGTATGCTTCTATGCTTTACACTATGCTTAGCATTGTATTTCTACAAGTTTTGGGAGAAATGCTAGTTACTCCCCACTGATTGTGGAACCTAAATGTTATTTTTAGGTGAAGAATAGCGTCTGTTGAGTCTGGGCTGAGAGCAGAGTGTTTAGTTTGTCCCCTAGTAGTTTCATCGGCTATCTTTTGATGTTTTTACCTCTCTTTATGAGATAGTCGAATTTGAGGTTGTTCTGCCTCGTTAAAAGTTTTCTTTGATCATTTGAGATTTCTTTCTCTTCATAAATTTTATTTCAGTTATTTATTTATTTTATTTAGTTTTTTTAGTATCCCTTAGAGTGGCATTCCGTCTCGACGTTATTTCTGCTAACGTCTAGCCTTTTATTTTAGACGGGGTGTTATAGTCCAAAGGAAAGGAAGATAGAGTAAAAGAGTCGCCAACAAGTTTTAGGAACTTGTAAACCGTTCACAGGGTGAAGGTTACACCCGTTAACGATCCAAGAGATCGTCAACTCCAATAGTTCTGGAACCATGACTGGAAGTTCGGGAATGAAGGTACAAATCCAATCTAAAGGAGAAAGAACCTTCCCTAAAAATAGGCATCTACTTTATTCTTCTCGTATTCATGTGCGCTTTCTGACTAACATGCAATCATTAGGTTTACCCTAAACATGTTTAATATATATTGGTAGAATATGAATGCACAAATAAGTCTATTATTGGTGATCACTTGAATTATAATCATATTAACCCTAAACAAGATTATTAATTATCTTATTAAGCGTGATTACAAGTACAAATTCCCTTTAAACATGCATAAAAGGTGTGATCAAGCAATAACAATAAAATATAAAGCAACATAATAATAATCATAATAACAATCATAAAATTATAACAATAATAATCATGATAATCATGATGAAAATAATTATGTTAAAGCATATTAATAGCAAGATCCTAGGTATGATACTAACAAGATTAATAACAAACCCTAGCATGTAACTAAACAATAAAAATCAAAGCTTTAGCCCTAACATGATTACTAACATGATATTAGGAAATAAAATAGGAAGCATCATAGCAATCATAATAGATATAATTAAGAAACTTATTCTTACCCTAAACATCATACTAAGAAAAGCATCCTAACATGATACTAGGCCAGAAAAAACATCCTAACATGATACTAGGAATCAAAATAACAACCTAAACATGATTTCTATACTAAAATATCAGTAAAACAATTAAAGCACTTACTTGGATGCCTCGTATCTCTTTCTAATAACAAAATACACACGTTAGTAGATTCAAGGAAAATAATAAAATCAAAACAATTAAATTAAATAATTGAATTAGAGATTTGGGACCAAAACCCCAGAAATATCAAACCTTTCACGTCTAGGGCGAAGACAACTTTGAACTTGGTTAGGTGTGTCTAGATCTTGTGAATGCGGAATTTTGTTTGTAAAAAGGTTGGTTTAGAAAAAGAGAGAAAGAATACCAAGAATTTCTTGATGAGAGTTGGTGAGGTTGATGAAGGTCTAAGGACGCTATTTATAATGAAAACAGTCCGGATATGATAAAAAAGAATCGGAGTTTGATAAGGAATAAAACACGTCGCTGTCTATACAACTGCGCCTGTCGCGAGGCGACAGCCTGACGACGTTCAGCGCTGCTGGTGATTTTTCCACACATTTTCTATTTTTTGATAAAATTAAATCGTAAAAGCCCGTACGAGGGGTTCAAAAGAACCTTCTAGAAGATTATAGAAGACTATGATCAATCCTAATTGCATTAGGAATGATAATTCAGAATAGGCCCTCCTCTAGATCATTGTGCCGCATATAAAGATCAAAACAGACCCATTTTAGTAATTTGGTCATAACTTCCTCATTATTCATCGGAATTGGGCTTATAATATATCGTTGGAAAGCTCTTTTTGAACTCTATCAAACTACACTATTATTGGACCCTTGTTATGGACCAAACTGAACTGGATTGGCTATTTTCATAAAATAGAATAGGTTTTTGAAAACAGAAAGAAGAGAATTTAATAAAAACTAACCGCAGCACTAGACTTTACACACTTTCACTTTGTTCGATTATGATTCGACGCGAAAGGTATTCATCACCGGGTCTAATTTTTGGGGAGACACAAATGGGTGTTTACAATACTAATACTAATACTAATAATAATACTAATAATAATATAATAATAATAATAACATAATAATAATAATAATACTAATAATAATAATAATAATAATAATACTAATAATAATAATAATAATAATAACAATAATAATAATAATAATAATAATAATAAGGAAAATTTGTCTGGAAGGGACTTATATCTTCACTCTTTTCTCTGGAAGGACCTTATACATTCAAAGTGGTCTAAAAGGACCTTATAAGTATGTGTTGTTGTCTAGAGGGACCTTGACGCCGGATTTCGGTGTTTGACTTTTTTACTCCCGCGTTGACATGTCACGTGACTTAAAAAAATCACCCTCCCTCTTATTTATTTTTCCTTTTCCCTCCAAATCACATTCTCTCTCTTCTACTCCCCAAATTTTTTCCCCAAATTGTTTCTCTCTCCTAACGAAACAAGTTGACTAAATCAAATCAATTGGATTTCCTTAATTTTCGAAGAAATTCAAGCAAGGAGCGTTCGATTAAGTCCTTTTCGCATCAGGTGAGAACAATTCGTACAATATTTTTCCCCAATCCCAATGTTTTATTCTTATGTTTAGTTGTTTGGAAAATTAGGGTTTATAACTCAATTGGTTCTAAAATCATGTTTTTTTTGGTTGTTTAAGGATGTTTTCGACTAAAAGGAAGTTATCAAAGTGCAATTGTGGTGGCTTGTATGGAAAATGAGAAGATAAGGTTGATTGATGAACATGAGAACTTGAAGAACAAGATGATGAGGAGCAAGGAAGGTGTTCATAAAACTTTGATCAGGACTGAAAATTGGGGATTGATATTGATTTGTGTGATCTTGTCTATTCTTTGTAGTTTGATTGTGGTGAAGTTATGTGTTTCGTGAGGAGAGAAACAATTTGGGGGAAAATTTTGAGCATATAATGTGAATTGGAGGGAAAAGGTGAAAAAAGAAAGAGGGAGGGTGATTTTCTTAAGTCATGTGACAGCTAGTCACATAACTGGTCAACGCCGGAGTAAAAAAGTCAAACATCGGAATATGACGTCAAGGTCCCTCTAGACAACAAAACATATTTATAAGGTCTTTTTAGACCACTTTGAACATATAAAGTCCTTCTAGACAAAAGAGTGAAAATATAAGTCCCTTCCAGACAAATTTTCCTAATAATAATAATAAGGCTAAATTAGAAAAAAACACCTGTTAAAAGACCTAATTTTGTTTTTAACACCTTAAGATTTCGAAGTTTAATTATAACACCTGTTAAAAAATAAAAATTTTGCTTTCACCACCTAAATTGGAACAACGTTAGAGGATCTGTTAGCTGGGCCCACAATAACGACTATTTTTTCCAAACTGCTTTATATAGTTACGACATCCTTCACTAATGTAGAATTGTTGAGCTGATTACACAAAACTGCTTCACATTTTGCGAATTCTGACTAACAAATTGGCGAAATTGTTTGATTTTACCATCATTGTTTGGGGGACGTAGATATCAAATCAGGTAATTGCGTCAATAGCACTTTAGAAACCCTAATTTATCTTTCAAAAATAAGGCGTAAATTAATCTATATGTTGTTGACTTAAATGCATAATTCAGGTCGTATCTGGCAATAGTCATGTAATTCGTAAATAGTTAGGGTTCATTGTGTGTTAATTGTGCTGTAATTTGCGAGAAAATGAAATTAGGGTTCATTGTAGAAATAATTTGGGGGTTTTGATTTGTAGGAGTGACTATTTAATTCCCTTGGTTCAATTGTATTTTTTTCATAGTACGAATGGTTTTGCTTATTATGGATGGCAAATTGGTGCAGGAAATGTCTTCTACAAGTTTCTCACCTTCAAAGGAGAAGAAGTGCAAATGTGGTGTTCCCTTTGCAAAGCTTACCAGTTGGACAAGGGAGAACCCTGGTCGTAAGTTCAGAACATGCAAGTTCTACGATCCTGTAACTGAGAGCAGAGGTTGTAAAGCATTTGAATGGGTGGATGAACAAGATGGGACAGCCTGGCAAACAGAGGTGATCAACAATTTGTTGTTTGATAAGAAACTGTTGAAGGGGGAAATTAGTGATTACAAGAGGGAAGTTGATGATCTTGGTGGATAGTTGAGGTGTTTGCTGAATGAAGTGGACAGGCTGAAAATGAAATGCAAGGCTTTAAACTCTGACAGGAACAAGATGAACAGAGAGATGCATGGAAGGAATGCTAGATCAGATCACTCTGTTCTTAGTCTTGCCGTTGGGATTAGTTTGGTCATATTAGTGATCCTTCTTATTAGGGGGTTTGTAATGCATTAAGTATAACTTTTAATGCTAGTAATTGCATGAAACAGTAATATGGTAATGTAATGATTTATAAGTGGCAGTGAACCACTATTGCAAGCAAACTAATGTACACAATTATGAAAGCAATGAATTAAGTAAGTACCTAAGTAGTTGATATTGCATTTAAGTTGTTGATCAAATTTGTTGTTGCAGTGCCTAACAAAATTGGCTGGTAAAGCCTTAAAGCAAAGTATTAATTTAACAAAACAGGATCCTTGTCCTAAACCCAAAAGTAAAGCTACAAATATTGCAACTGATTGTTCAGAAAATACAACCAACAACTAAAGTTCAGAAAAACAATTCAAACATCATTGTGTCAGCCCTCCTTGTCTGGAAGTCAGCAGCTTAGCCCTCCTTGTCTGCACTCCAGTAGCATTGGGTTCAGGTTGGCTGGAAGAGGGGGTGGTGTGATGCTTGGCTTGTGGCTGCCCTTGTTGTTCTTGGGGAAAAGTCCTATTCCCAATGCTGTTTGGACCAGCCCCTATTGCACTCTGTTTATAAAACACAAATACCAATAAACAAGTATCAACATCCAATTTCATCACAAATTTTAAAAGAAAAGTTACAAATCCAACAGCATACCTTCTTAGCAGCTTTGATCTCCCTCTTCTTCCTTTGCTCAACTACCCAAGGTGAATTTAAAGGAGGCCTTCCTGCAGTTCTCTGCTCAGTTGGTTCAGGTTCATGTGGGCCCTTGCAAGTCTTGGGATAGTGGCCAAATCCACCACAAATCCTACACTGACTTTTCCTCCTCTTTCTTCCCTGCTCTCCTCCTGTTGCAGATGTTCCCTCCCCAGGTTCCAGCTTCCTCTTCTTCTGTTTAGGTCTTCCAGGCTGCTGTTTGAATGCTGGTGGATGAGGCTCTCTCATGTTCACTCTCTCCCAATGCTTTGGGCCTGGCATAGGTTGAATTGCAGGCTCATATGCTGCTCTGTAAGTGTCCATAGCGTAATAGGGGTGGACAAACTGCTCAACATCAACCCTCTGATCCATTATGCATGCAAATGCATGAATACATGGGATGCCTGTTAATTGCCAGTGATTGCAGGAACAAGACCAATTGGGCAAGTCAACTAGAACCTGGTCATCATTCAGCTGCACTTCATAAGTGTCATCCCTGGCAGCTTCAATTATGCAATTCCTAGCCACATAGCTCATCCTCTGAAATAGCTTATGCACATATGGAGTGATGTTGGTTGTGATTTCCTTGGAGTCCTCCCACTTCTCATTATTTCTCCTCATCATGTACCTCCTCATCCATTCCATTTGGGTGAGGATAGGTTTGTCTCTTGCATCTCTGATAACAGAGTTGAAAGTCTCACACATGTTGTTTAGTAACATGTTGGACCTGCAACTGTCACTGAATGCATGTCTGCACCAGTGATGAGTGGGGATGTTCTCCAAATAATTGTAAGCATCCTCATCAAGCTCCCTAATCTGTTGCATGGCTATCTGAAACTCAACCTACAACCACAACAGGAACATTATCATGAAAGAATAATCCTTTGCCTACAGATTTTTTTTTCCCTTTCCCTTATCCAACACCTTCACACTGCCAGAACCCCTTTCAAGCTTAGCTTTACCCTTTTGTTTCCCCTTACTCAACAACTTCCCTTTACCAGGAACCCCCTTAATCTCAGCAGAAACCCCTTCAACCCTTTCTATCCCCTGTCTAGATCTAGTTTTAGGAGATTCTTCACCCTCCCTCACCTTAGGCTCATTTTTGTTAATTCTTGGGCTCTTCCTAACTACAGCAGGCTTACCTGAACTTTTCTTCCCCTTTCTCTCAGCCTTTACTGGAGTGGACTGGGCCTGGATCTCATGTATGGGCCTTAATGTTTCATTAGCAGTCTCAAATACTTCAACATACCCTTCCCCATTCACTGTCTCCAGCAGCCCCTTCACTTCCTCTTCATTTACTAACTCCCTTCTCCCTGTGTTAAAGGTCCTACCTCTTTCTTTATACCAAAGTCTGTAGTTAGGTGGGACATGGACATTAAAGTTCATAAACCCATGCACAGCAGCTACCCTCAAATAATGAAAATCTATCTTATCCACTACCACATCCCTCCTCCTATAACATAACCCACCACACCAACAAAGCAAATGCTTTGATTTTGACACTTGTTTAGTAACAAAAGCACCCCCTACTCTAAATACTATATCAATTAATCCATCTTCGTTGTCGGCCATTTTTCTACCTAATAAACAAATGCAAAGCAAATCAATAAAACCCAACATAGCTAACCCCATTACACAGTCAACCGCAATACTTTAATCAACAAAATCAAACATATTTAAACCAACACAATGACAAACCAGTCAACAGTCAATAAAATCAATGATTTAAACTAAATAATTCACACATTACACCAAATCATACTTAATTTAATCAAATTCAACTTTAATTACAAATTAACCCATTTTACTGTTCTTAGGGTTCCTAATTTTTTTTCCCAAATTACCCTACTACACCCACACAAATGGCATAATGCAGCACACAGTACTTGTTGAAAACTACTTTAAAGGGTTCGAAAGGTACCTGTATTGGAATCTTACTCCTGTTGCTGTCAGAATCCACGAAAAAGTCCAAGCTTTTTGGATGTTGGAAATGGCTGACGGAATCTCGCTGACTTGTTTCGCTCCAATATTGACACCTCCTCTTCCAACTCAATTTCTCAATCACAACAATCAGTATAGGGTTTGAATGTTCGCAGTAATTTTGGTTGTTCAAGATTTGCAGACGAAATTCAATGAAGCAAAATTAGTTGGTGGTAATAAATGACAGAGAAGATAAATTCGAATTGAAGGGGATGGAATTTGGAGGGTAAACGACTATGTGGGCCCCACTAAAAAATTCCGTCACAGTTTCTGTTATCTGGTGGTGAAAGCAAAATTTTTATTTTTTAACAGGTGTTATAATTAAACTTCGAAATCTTAAGGTGTTAAAAACAAAATTAGGTCTTTTAACAAGTGTTATTTTCTAATTTAGCCTAATAATAATAATAATAATAATAATAATAATAATAATAATAATAATAATAACAATAACAACAATAACAACAACAACAACAATAACAATAACAATAACAATAACAATAACAATAATAATAATAATGATATGCATCAATGATAAGACAAAATGAACATTTATTATAACAAAACGCACTTATAATCTAACTAGAAGACAAAAAACTCGAAGTACTATGTGAAGGAATTATGCCTTCGATAAGTGCAATTACTAGATACATTAAAGATCACTATTCTAGAGATAATAAGTTCATTCTTTTGGGTCGCCATTGTCTGTTGTTAGATATGAAAAATGAACTTTAGGCTAGTTAAATAGTCCAAAGCCCAATAAAATGGATTCTATGAGGTCACACAACAAGGGTATTAGGTTAAACAAGTTAGAGGCCCATTAATGGGCCTTATGAGGATATAACAGATCATGATTAGTGTTAGGCTAGAGTAGTTGGATTAGAGTTAGGATTTTTGGCTTGACATTGACTCTTATATTAGATATGATCTATAAATAAAGTTCATGACAATAAGTTGAATTAAGTTATAATTTACAAGTCAGTAAATTGAGAAACAAGCAACCAAATCCCAAAAAACCCTAAGCTCTCTTTCTCTCTCACTCTCACGCACGCCCCTCCCCTCTCACCTCCCTCCTTACGGCCGGCCACCCTAGGGTGGCGCGTGGTGTTCGTGGTGGTGGTTCTTGTTGGTTTGTTCTTCTCCTCTCCGTAGAAGGTTGATCGAAAGGGTTCAATCACGACTAACTAACATTAGTGGAGGTTTAATCTTTGCCCGTGGACCAAGTAGAGGAATCACGCTTGAGGTTCTTTATCTGCCATAGTTCTTGCTCGATTGCACGTGGATTCACGCTTCAAAGGTATTTATTTGTTCTTTATGTGTTATGCATTGATCTTGGTGTTTAGTTGCCTATGAATATGATTTATATAATTCCGCTTATAGTATCTAAAGTCTTACACTACGGAGATCACATGCATTAATTCCCTTTGTCGAAAACCGAACTCTACTTATGTAAAATGATGAAAATCATCATTGCCATTAATAAAACTACTAGGGCTATAATTAAAATTAAGTATAGATTTTATTTCCTTAAATAATCTTCTTCAAAGGTAAAGGAGTGTGGCGGTTGTCGGTTGTAGGCACGGAACATGGTGCGTGGTCGGGAATGAATGAAGGAAGTAGAAGTAGAGGAAATAATTTGGGTAAAAGTGAGAGGGGATAAGAATTGTATGATTAAATAAGGGGGGGGGGGGTGCAATCCTCTTTTATAGAGGGTGAATTATCCATTGCAGTTTTACACAACTGTTAAAATATCATATAGTATTCTAATGGATTGCTGGTAAAATTATATTTAAACTATTAATATTTATAAACGTAAATAAGTATCACACTGGGATGCAAGCCATAGTGGTCCGAGAACCCTAATCTATTCAAGAGGTCAAGGGTTCAAAAAACTGAAAGAAACATAAAAAGTGTGTAATCTAAAAATAAATAAATATAAAGTTTGCATCATTTATATATTTATTTCACTTTATTAATAATGTAAGTATGAACATGAATTGTGTGACCATGAAAATTTATTCTATTAACATGCATGCAACAAATACCTCTACATGTAAAAGTAATTATATGTTACTTTCTATAACCATGCATGAGAGTAACCAAACTAAATATCATTAATATAATATGTATGATTTCCTCATATTTACCAAGATGACTAATTTTGTAGGTAAATATATTGTGAGTTTCTGGTATAGGGGATCCGTATGGGAAACTATAGAGCATACTTCTCAAAATATATCTTGTGAAAGAAATTGAAATCTTCGGGTTTTTCACCATATACCCTTGAGTTTTTTGTTTATTCACCATATACCCATGAAGTTTATAAACTTCATCATATACCCTCGAGTTTTCTAAAAAATATATCATATAACCTTGATGACTAATGGTTATTAACTTTATCAATTATGACCCAAAACTACCCTAAATACATTCCTCCACCTTCAAAATCACCCACGTTTCTTTTTCTCACCTCCAAAACCACCCCTAACTTCTTTTTCTCTTCCTGAAAATCGATTATACATATATGATTTTTGAGATTTGGAGTGAATTCAGGGATTGGACAAAGGAGAGGAGTGGTTTCAGGGATGAAAGGAGAGATATAAGGTGGTGTCGATGCATAATTAATCAAATTTCACTCATCTTGTTGTCATTAAGGGTATATGGTGAATTTTTGTAACAACTTAAGGTTATATGGTGAATTTGAAAATAAATAAAATACAGGGGTATGTGGTGAAAAAATCGTGAAATCTTTCTAAAATTGGATAATCTATATAAGTTTACCTGATTAAAGATGGTGGTGACAAGATGTTATGAAATATACAGAAATTAAAGGATTAAGAGAAGAAGGTAAGGGAGGTGGAATTACTACTTGTACTATATTACTCTTGGTAATATTTTTGTATTTTTCATACAAGTCAACTTGCATGGGTATTGATAGTAGTGAAAACTACTATTACATTGTGGGATACTAACATAGAGGGTGGCAACAAGGTTGGCTACTACATTAAATGCCATGAAGAAATTTGGAGTGTAGACATTCACACCATATTTAATGATCAAATTAAGGAAAAATGGAAAAGAAAAATCCAACCTTTGGGCGGTCTGACTATAAAAATCCAACCTTCCATTAATCTCATAAAAATCCAACCTTCCATTAATATCATAAAAATCCAACCTTTATACCCCACCTTCTTTGACAGATCCATTTGACTTTTAACCTATTAAATAGGTTAATTTTTTTTAAAAAAAAATTCTCACTTTCCTTCCCACTCCTCTTCTTTCTCTCTCCTTTCCACACCACCACCTCTGCCACCACTTTCCTTCTCTCTCCTCTCTACACAACAACTAGTCCACCACCTTTGCCACCACAAGCCACGCAGCCTCCTCTCAAAACCAACGCCCAACCACAAGCCACACAACCCTCTCTCCCACGCATCCTTCTCTTACCTCCCTATCCCTTTTCTATGCCCATCATAACCATCACCCCAGCATCTCCCTCACCCAACCCCGACAACGACATCTAAAGGGTTTCGAACTTGGGGCCGAAAATAATATGTAAATTGGGGCCGGAAATTGGTGGTGCGATAGTGGAGCAGCACCGCCAAATGGAGTGTGCAAGAGAGGAGTTGCGATGGTGGAGTTGTTTGGTACGGGTTAAGTGAGGAGGTGGCTGCAACAACGACTAATTTGGTTGAGTGTGGGTTGGAGCAGGTGCTGCGACTGGTGGTTGGTTTGGGATTTCGGGATGCCGGGGCTGGGCAGTTTGGAGTCGGTGGTTGTTGTTGTCTCTGGGTTACGTTGGGGATGGGGTGGTCAGGTACGGTGGGGATGGGGATGGGGTGGTTAGGTACGGTGGGGATCAGGGAAGGAGGTGGGGTTAGCTATTATGATTTTTTATTTTTTTTGTTTTTTAAAGATTAAAAAAATAATTGACCAATTAATGATTGACACGTGGCACATAACTTATAAAAATCGGTCATCAACAGGTAATGGATCTGCCAAAGAAGATGGGGTATAAAGGTTGGATTTTTATGAGATTAATGAAAGGTTGGATTTTTATTGTCAGACTGCCCAAAGGTTGGACTTTTCATTTCCATTTTTCCTCAAATTAATTAGGGAAATTCTACTTGGTGGCCTCATAGAAGTAAAAATTCTACGTGGAAGACTAACCCTTTTTTAATTCTATAAAATGGTACTATATACTTACTAAATTCATTTAAGTGGTCTAATTATCATTAAATCGAATAACCAGAACTTAAATTGTCCATTTGCTAACCTAAATTAATAAAAAGACTAACCTACCCTTAAAATAATCCTTCCATATTATTTTATCATCTATTTCCAGAAAGGCTGCTTAGTTCCTCATTGTATATTGTAGCCCTCTTCCATTTTCTGACTTAGGGTTTATCATCTACTGCTTAGGGTTCGTTTCTGGTAATCTCCAAGCAATTTGAAAATGAATTTTCATGATGTTGCTGCAGGTAAGATGTGCGCATTCAATGAAAGTTTCAATTGGGTGAATATGAAGCACTGCTACTACACCCCCGCAAAAAACGCAGATGTAATTATGGTGGAGATTAGCAACGTTAGATGAGATGTTGTTTAATGTAGGATGTATTTGAATTTGTATAATTTGATTATGTATAAATAAAAGTCAGTCATGACATTTTGCTTTTAATAATAGTTGTACAATTATGCAAATATTAAAGTACATAATCTAGAAGCATTTGAGCACTAATTAGAGTAATGAGCACATAGTTGTTGACAAAATACTGTAAAAAAAAGAACAACTCCGTGTTCTCAAATAAATTGCTCCTTGTCTACAAACCAATTGAGCACATACTCATGTTCAAACTGTTGTTGTTGTTGTTTTTTTTTGTTTTTTTATATAAATTTTCAAAATAAAGCAACTAAGTAAAGCTGCTATACATTGTTTCAGCAAAAAATTACACAAAAAAAGCTTGAACTTGTAGAAGAAAAATTCAGAACATCCTAGACTTTGTTCTTCCCTTTACCACCCCTCTTTGCAGCAGTAATTGGTTGTCTCATTGAACCTTGGACAACATTTTGTGACATTTGAGTTGTCCAGACAGTAGGTTTTGATTGAGAAGCAGACAACAATAAGCTTCTTGTGAACCTTCTACTTTGAGTTTTTCATTGGCCTCTGA